CTTCCTTTTCTTTTTTTTTTTTTTTTTTTTTTTGACACACTGCCACAGTCTTTAGTTCCATGTAATAGAATTCTGCCAGTCCTTTGTACTGAATACAAATCTTGGGTGTCTTTCTTATTACTTATTAAGGTGAGGCAGAAACTGTGGATCATGACAGAAGAGGAGAACACTTCATTGCTTCTTCAAATGCCCTTTTTTCTTTAAAATGCACTTTTACTGCAAAAGCATTGTTGAAGTGGATTATTGAGGTATACCCTATGTTTATTTTATGTTGTAGGTATTACATTTTTTGGAAGAATTCTGTTTAACTAGATTAGTAGTTATTTTCTTCTTTTTAAAAACTTATTATTATTTTTAAGTTTGCCATAGGGCACATGTGCTCACCAGAGAGAACGAGAGCGGAAAGTGAGAAAGCAACCCACCAGGTCTGGGACTTGAACTGGGGTCGACCATGTGGGAGTCCAGTGCCCCAACCACCATGCTACTTGCTGGCCCCTAGATCAGTACTTAAAGTATGGTCACTGGTCAAGCAGAATCAGTATCACCTTGCTACTTATTAGAAATGGTATTTCTTGGGTCCCTCTCTAGAAACTAAGGCTGGGAACAGTAATCTATCTTTTATCTAGTTCTCTGGGTGATTATAACACTTGATAAAGTTTGAGAATCACGGAACTGGATGGTCACACACATCTTTCATTTACTGAATTCTTTTAGATCTCAGAAAGCTGGTTTGTACCTCCTTGATTCCTTCTGTCCAGGACTTGATACTGGCCATGTGCTAGTCACTGTTCAGGTACCAAGGAAACACTACTTGACAGAATAGACAGGATCCCTGCTTTCTCATCAGCTTACATGTAGAGAAGGGAGACCAGCATAAACTTAAGTTTGCAACAGGATAATGGAGCATTAAGGTTAGAGAGTATGTTGAGCCAACTATGAGCTGTTTTAAATGACAGGAAAGACCACCTATGTAAGGACCAATATAAAAGGCCATACGGTAGGAATGAGTTTGGTGTGTTTGGGGACTAGAAAGACGGCCGTAGTGACTGGTGGTAGTGGGAAAATGGAGAGCGGCATGAAGTGAAGTTGGACAGGTAGGCAGAAGCCAGAAAATGTAGGACATTGTAAAGACTTTTTTCCTTCCTAGTTTTTTTTTTTTTTTTAAAGATACAGTGCTTATTTTTGTAATGAAGTTTAAAAACCGTTTATTTCCAAGAGGAAAAGACAGATAGGTATCCCAACATGGCCTTCTTGCCATGATATACTCATAGTCTCAGCTGACTGTGATCCTGGGAATGGGCATGAAAGTCAGATTGCTCAGGGAGGTTCCAGAAGGGGACCCACGACTTCTCCCACATGGGTCTAGTTGTCTTACTGCCACACCACCTGATCATCTTCCCTGTTCTTTTTTTTTTTTTCCTTCAATAATATGACTCATATAACAAAAATTTTCCTTTTAACCATTTTAAAGTATACATTTAAATGGTATTAAGTACATTCATATTGTTTTTCAGTCATCTCCTTTCCATCCCTAGAACTAGAACTTTGCCTTTGAGTGATATGGGAAGCTAATTGGGAGTTTTTGTCTAGGACTGAGACAGCCTGATTTGGCCAGCCCGTGGAGTAGTGGTTAAGGTGGCTAGATCCCACATGGGTGGCTGCTATTCAAGCCCTGGACCTGCAGCTGGAGGGTGCCTATGCACATGTGCCTACAAGTTCAAAAGTGGGGAGAGGTAGAGGAGAAGGGATTGTGGAGTGACCATGCCCCCATGGGGGTGCTTTCTTCTCTTTCTTCTGTCTCTGACAAGTGTATGTACCTTCAAAACAAAACAAAAACAAAAAAGGAAAGAAACAAGGACTACAAGTATTACTGACCACTAAGTTGAGATCTGACTGTAGAGGACAAAAGAGGAAGCAGGGGGACCAGTGAGGAGAGTATTGTGGTTGTTGAGTTGAAATGATGGCGAACTGGTGGTCTGGCAATGTTGGGGGTGCCAGAAGCATTGAGATTCTGGATCTATTTTGTTGATATAAGCAACTGAATTTGCTGGTTGGTTGATTATGGCTTAGAAATGAATGTATATATGGGGACCAGAAGGTGGTGTGATGGTTAAGGCGCTGGATACTCCCACATGGCTGACCACTGTTCAAGTCTTGGACCTGCTGACTTGCTTTCTCACTTCCCCTTCTCTCTCTCTCTCCCTCTCTCTCCCCTCTCTCTACCCCCTCTCCTCTCTCTCTTCTCTCTCTCTCTCTGTGTGTGTGTGTGGTCAAATTAAAATAAATAAATAATTCTTAAAAAAAAGAATGTAGTATATAAAACAGAGGAGCCAAGGATGATGGTAATAGGAGATGCAGTTTTGAGGAAGGAAAGTATACGTTACATTAGAAGTGCTTCTTAGATGTCCAAGTGGAGATGTTGAGTAGGCAGTTGGAGAAGGGAATCTGGAATCAGGGAGGAGGTCAGCCTGGAGACATGACTCTGGGGCTTGTCGGCATATGCATGCCAATTGAAGCCATGATGCTGAATGAGGTTATCTAAGCAATATGTAGAAGGGGGAGTCCTTGACTAAGATTGAGAGTAAGTGGGCTCACAGGAGATGGGGTTAGCAAGGGAATACTGGTAAGGTGGGAAAAGTACCAGTAGAGATTGATGTCCTGGAAAGCAAGGGAGGAAAGTGTTTCAGAAGGAGGGAAAATGGATCAACCGTGTCAAATGCCTTTGAGAGACTGAGTACGGCAAGTATTAAGAATCGAGCCTTTTAACACATTTTGGCTATGGGGAAGAGGGTGGTGGTGACATGTGCAAGCTGTGTCAGTGATGCAGTGAATTCAGAAGCCTAGTTGGAGTGTGTGAGAGAGAAAGAAAGGGGGCCAGCAGGTGGTTAATGTGCTGAATTTGCATGGTTGACTGTGGTTTGAGTCTCAGACCTGGCAGCTTGCTTGCTTGCTTTCACTCTCTCCCTCTGATAAGTGCAAATTAAAGAATAATAATGATACTACTAGTAATAAAACGAAATATTTAAAAAAAAGGGAGAAGCAGCAGATACAGTGAGCATGTGGACAGTGGCAGGACTTTCTTTATTCAAAGAGGTAGCAGCAAAACACCTCACGGCACAGGTTAATGTGGTATGTTAACACCTTAGCATGTTTGTGTTTGTTACTTTAATTTTTACAATGTGTAAAAACAAATTTAAAAGTGGAAGTTTGGAAAAAAATATGGAAGCTCTGAAGAACCTCCATGAAATCCTAGGTCCTATAGGCCACTGCCTGAAAGCTTTTATCATAAATCTGGAGGAATGAAATTCTGAGATGAAATTCAGCCAGTTGGAAAATAAGTTTAAGAAAGGTATTTTTAGGTTTTGGAGGAATCCTCCTTGATGCTCTTCAGATTATACTACCTGTCACTCAGGAAAGATGACCTTCTAACATTCCTTTCTTTCATCAAAGGCTCTACCGTGAGGCCTTTGGAATGAAAGGAATGCTTCCATATGGTTTTCCACAAATGTTTGGTGCCAAAGGATGCTAACTTTGTAGGTAATTTTGTATCCTCTTGCTTGAAAGAAAGAGCATGACATTTTACTTAAGGCATTCTGGAAACTTAAGTTTATTTTGTTTTATTATTTTTTTAACTAAGATACTCTGAGTTAGTACTTGATTTCTAAGATAATGGTACTTGACAAGGTGCATTTTAATGGCATATTTTTCTAAGATGCCATTGTTTATTAAATGAACCACTGGGACCAGCAGTTAGCGTAATGGCTATGTCACTGGACTCCCACATAGTTGACCCCGGTTCGAGTCCTGGACCCGGCAGCTTAAACTCATGCCAGGGCGTGTGCGTGTGTGCCCAAGATCCCGAGAGGAGAATGGAGGAGAAGGGATTGCGGTGTGGCCATCCCCCCGGGGGATGATTTCTCTCTCTCTGTCTGGCGAGCAAGCGCATGCGCCCTATGGCAAAAAAAACCTCTCCAAAAAAAAAGAAAAGAAAAAACCCATCATCTTTTTTTTTTTTTTTTTTTTTTTTCCATAGGGTGCATAGGCCAGCGAGAGGGAGGGCAGGAGGGAGGGATGGGGAGAGAGGAGAAAGTATGTCTCAGTAGGGTGTGGTCACTATGTAGTCCCTTTTCCATTTCTCCATCCTGTTGGGTTTGGGGAGCACCCACACATGAGCTGCTAGCCTGCTTTTCAGTCTGTTGGGGCTGGGATTTGAACTATGAGGCTCACCATGAGGACTCTGGTTTACCTTACCCACCAGGCTATAGGGTTAGTAATAGTCACTTCAGCTCTCTACCTTTGGTTCCTTACCTGTGTGATTAGGGTAAGCCCTGATGTACTTACCTGACAAGATTATACTGAAGGTGAAATGAAAAGTAGTTTCTACAGGGCAAGTTCAAAGTATTCATTTGATTCAAATGAACCTTAAACATGATAAGCAACTCAGAAAGTTTCTGATCTGAGCTTTGTTTTCAGAATTCAGTTATAGTAATTCTTTGGTATCCACAGAGTATTGGTTCCAGGAACTCTTCCACCCAAGCACCAAAATCCTTTGATGCCTACGTCCTCTTGTACAAAATGCTGTTGTGTTTACATGTAATCTCCGTACATCCTTTGTATACTTTACATCATCTCTAGATTAGTTACAATACCTAATACGATGTAAATGCCATGTAAATAGCTGTTATACTGTTTTGTTTTGTTTTTTTAAAGAGAGATTTTTGCTATAGGGTGCATGTGCATGCCGGAGAGACAGACAGTGAGAAGTCACCTCCCCTAGCCCCCAGTGAGATGGCCATGCCGCGTTCCCCTCTCCTCCACCCTCCTCTTGGGATCTTGGGCACACACACACCTGGCGGGAGCCCCAAGCCTCCGGGTCCAGGACTTGAACCACAGTCGATTATGTGGGAGCCCAGTGATGCAACCACTACACCATCTGCTGGTCCCTACAATATATTGTTTAGGGAAATATGACAAGAAAAATGTCTAAGTGTTCAATACCGATGCAACCAGTTTTACAAAAAAATATTTTTGATGCATGGTTGGATGAATCTGTGGATGCAGACCTATGGTTATGGAGGGCTGACTATATAGACATCTTAGAGTATAACATTTTACCTCAGTTTGGAAATAATATCTTTTTTATAAGTTTTGAAATAAAACAGAAAAATACAAAGATACATAACTACACTATTCTTTTCACCCAGAATGAATAATTGCTGGCATTATGTTAGTGCTGTGATCTCTTAAAAATGTACTATGAAATATTTGTAACTTAAAAACATAAAAGAATATGATAACTAACTTCACATACTTGCCATTGCCAATACAGACGAAAGCCCCTATGTGGGGATAGTATCTTTTAGTATATTAGCATCTTGTCTTTATAAGCATCTATGAGATAGGATGGAAACTGCTTTTCTTGTTTTAGTCTTTCAAATCTTTAAATAAGCAAGTTAATTTTGTCCCATGAGTGTTTTATCCCAGAATATCAGGGAGAGGGCTACTTTGTGCTACTGTTGCTTTTGTCAGCATTTCCTCATAATTCTACCTGTGGCTTAGAGATCCAGCTTTGGAAACTAGAACTATGATATTTGTAAAATCATGGTAATGGATAGTCTATTATGTGGCAAACACTGCCCAGATGATCGATTGATCATCTATCATCTAAATAATATAAATGTGTGTGTGTATTAAGTGTCATAATATTAAGCTTTATAATCTTTCTGGTTAAGTATCTTCATGTTATGAATTAGGAAGGCATGACTCAGAGAAACTAAACTTCCACGACCAGTAGGTTCTGGAGCCAATGATTTTCATCAAGATTTGCCCATATGTTATATCATGCTGCCTCGATCCTGTTGGTGATCCCTCTGTTTCTTTTGTAGGCAGAACCCTGAGACCACGTTTGAAGTGTATGTCGAAGTGGCCTATCCTAGGACAGGTGGCACTCTTTCAGGTACTTTGCATGTTTGATTATGATTAGGTGTGTGTGTTTACTATATGAGACAGACATACACAAAGGGCAGTATGGGAACAATGTGAATAAACTGTTATCTTTAAGTATGTTTAAGTGCTTTTCCCTTTTATTTATGCCCACATCATTCTAGAAAGAATGGAGAAAAAGCACAGTTTCAGAATCACTGCCATAGTAGGTTGAAGTGTGGCTTTATTTATTACAGTCATTGATCTTGGTTTGCATCTTTAACAGCCTGGAAATCAGCTATTTAGTGTAAAATATTGTCAACTTGCTAATGAATTAGTTTATATGATACAAAATAATATAAAGGGAATGCTGGACCCCTAAGGTGGGAGGAAATGCTTGAAATAAACTTTATTGACTTATTTGGAGAGATTTTTGCTATAGGGCATGTGCACTCACCAGAAAGATGGAGAGAGAGAGACAGAAAGCAAGAAATCACCCCCCAGGGGAATGGCCAAGCTGCAATCCCTTCTCCTCCATTCTCCTCTTGGGATCTTGGGCATGCATGTACACACGCCCGGCATGAGTTTAAGCCACTGGGCTCAGTACTCGAACCGTGGTTGACTACATGGGAGTCCAGCAACATAGCCATTATGCCAGCTGCTGGTCCCCCCTTTATTTAATTTTATGCCTGTTGGTAAAAGAAGTTTAGAAATGAGTTGAAGAAAATACTTTAGCTTTTGTACTAATTTGGCCATGTATTCTTGGACAACATGTTCTTAGATAAAGTTAGGGTATCTTAGGCAGGCTGCATGATGTAAAATCCTCCATGGTTAATAAGAAAAATAGCCTTTTGATCCAATATTCTTTTTCTTTGTGCCTAAGAGAGAGATGCATTTTGCTGAAGGGTTTATTAAGGACTCCTACTCCACATGCAGATACCTTCATATATTATTTCATGTTTGGGGAGAGTGAAATTTGATAAGGAATTTGGAGTAATCAGGATTCCAGTACTATTTATGCTCTTAATTGGTTTTACAATCTTAGGCATACTTTTAATTTCATTATTTAAATTAGATTATATTAATCATAAATATAGCTATCATTTAACAAACACCTGTTCTAATATCCTTCATGCTTGACGTCTGTGTTGTCATTCCTTGCGATATAACCCGTAAAGATAGAGTAGTCGGGTAGCATCCCTTTATGCCTGGGAGAAAAGAGACTCACAGAGGTGAAATAACTTACCAAGATTATATAGCAATGCATAGGCTAGTCAAGATTTTTGTTTAAGTCCTCTTCACTCTGCTCAACTGCCTTCTTGAGAGCAGTGACCATGTTGTACACACTTCCTCATGTCACCCACAAGGTTTTGCATGATGTCACCAATTTTTATTAAAATGAATGAATTACTTTTTTATAATGAATGCAAATAATTCAGTGCTCCACTGTCTGGATTATCTAATGAAGGCTGTGAAACATTACAAATTTGCGATTCTTCCGACATATGGAAAGTTAACATCCTTGTTAGGGTCTGCTGCCTTTTTTTTTTTTTTTTAAAGAATTTATTTAACTTTATTTATTTTATTTATTCTCAATTTGACCAGAAATGGAGGGACAGAACGAAAGTGAGAGAGAGAGGGAAAGTAAGAAAGCAAGCCAACAGGTCCGGGACTTGAACCATGGTCAGCCATGTGGGAGTCCAGCACCCTTAACCACCATGCCACCTGCCAGCCCCAGGGTCTGCTTCTTATTGGGCACAGAATCCATTGGGTTAGAGGAAAGGAATTGTTACCAGGTATGTACATGCTGCAGCATCACCATGGGGACACTTGACAGAGTGACTATGTGATGACGATAGTGATTTGACAGATACATTTATGGACCAAAAATTTATTTTTACAGTTGCCAACATTTCTTTCTTTTAAGGCTCTGAGATTTTTTTCTTTAAAGTTACAGTTAATTTTTTTTTTTTTTTTGGATGAGATTTTTGCTATAGGGCGTGTGTGCTTGCCAGAGAGAAAGAGAGACAGAAAGAGAGAAATCAGCCCCCAGGGAGGATGGCCATACCACAATTCCTTCTCTTCCATTCTCCTCTTGGGATTTTGGGCATGCATCTGGCATGAGTTTTAAGCCTCTGGGTCCAGGACTTGAACCATGGTTGGCCATGTGGGAGTCCAGAGACATAACCATTATGCCATCTGCTGGTTTCTACAATTATTTTTTAAAAAATATGAATGAGAGGGACCAGCAGTTAGCGTAATGGCTATGTCTCTGAACTCCCATGTAGTTGACTGCTGTTCAAGTCCCGGACCCTGTGGCTTAAACTCATGGCAGGCGCGTGTGCGTGCATGCCCAAGATCCCAAGAGGAGAATAGAGGAGAAAATCACCCTACTTGGGGGTGATTTTTCTCTTTCTATCTCTCTGTCTCTGTCTTTCTGGTGAGCTCATGCACCCTATAGCAAAAAAACCTCCCCCCCCCAAAAAAAAAATATGAATGAGATTTGAGAGGTAAAATGAGATGGAAGAATGTGCAGAATGAAAAGTCTTTATCCTATCTCTTTATCATAGTCATGTAATTTCTCCCCTTTTAGACAACTCCTTTTTTCTTTGACTCTTTATTAAATATAGCTATCATTTAACAAACACCTGTTCTAATATCCTTCATGCTTGACGTCTGTGTTGTCATTCCTTGCGATATAACCCGTAAAGATAGAGTAGTCGGGTAGCATCCCTTTATGCCTGGGAGAAAAGAGACTCACAGAGGTGAAATAACTTACCAAGATTATATAGCAATGCATAGGCTAAGCAAGATTTTTGTTTAAGTCCTCTTCACTCTTCTCCACTGCCTTCTTTAGAGCAGTGACCATGTTGTACACACTTCCTCATGTCACCCACAAGGTTTTGCATGATGTCACCAATTTTTATTAAAATGAATGAATTACTTTTTTATAATGAATGCAAATAATTCAGTGCTCCACTGTCTGGATTATCTAATGAAGGCTGTGAAACATTACAAATTTGCGATTCTTCCGACATATGGAAAGTTAACATCCTTGTTAGGGTCTGCTGCCTTTTTTTTTTTTTTTTAAAAAATTTTTTTAACTTTTTTATTTATTCTCAATTTGACCAGAAATGGAGGGACAGAACGAAAGTGAGAGAGAGAGGGAAAGTAAGAAAGCAAGCCAACAGGTCCGGGACTTGAACCATGGTCAGCCATGTGGGAGTCCAGCACCCTTAACCACCATGCCACCTGCCAGCCCCAGGGTCTGCTTCTTATTGGGCACAGAATCCATTGGGTTAGAGGAAAGGAATTGTTACCAGGTATGTACATGCTGCAGCATCACCATGGGGACACTTGACAGAGTGACTATGTGATGACGATAGTGATTTGACAGATACATTTATGGACCAAAAATTTATTTTTACAGTTGCCAACATTTCTTTCTTTTAAGGCTCTGAGATTTTTTTCTTTAAAGTTACAGTTAATTTTTTTTTTTTTTTGGATGAGATTTTTGCTATAGGGCGTGTGTGCTTGCCAGAGAGAAAGAGAGACAGAAAGAGAGAAATCAGCCCCCAGGGAGGATGGCCATACCACAATTCCTTCTCTTCCATTCTCCTCTTGGGATCTTGGGCATGCACGCACACGCGCCTGCCATGAGTTTAAGCCACAGGGTCCGGGACTTGAACCATGGTTGGCCATGTGGGAGTCCAGAGACATAACCATTGCTATGTCTGCTGGTTTCTACAATTATTTTTTAAAAAATATGAATGAGAGGGACCAGCAGTTAGCGTAATGGCTATGTCTCTGAACTCCCATGTAGTTGACTGCTGTGCAAGTCCCGGACCCTGTGGCTTAAACTCATGGCAGGCGCGTGTGCGTGCATGCCCAAGATCCCAAGAGGAGAATAGAGGAGAAAATCACCCTACTTGGGGGTGATTTTTCTCTTTCTATCTCTCTGTCTCTGTCTTTCTGGTGAGCTCATGCACCCTATAGCAAAAAAACCTCCCCCCCCCAAAAAAAAAATATGAATGAGATTTGAGAGGTAAAATGAGATGGAAGAATGTGCAGAATGAAAAGTCTTTATCCTATCTCTTTATCATAGTCATGTAATTTCTCCCCTTTTAGACAACTCCTTTTTTCTTTGACTCTTTATTTTTCCACATTTCATTTTTTGAATTTTATTTTAAAATTATTTATTTAATTTAATTTGTTATTATTTCTTTCTTTCTTTTTTTTTTTTTGGAGAGGTTTTCGCTATAGGGCGCGTGTGCTTGCCAGATAGACAGAGAGAGACATAGAGACAGAAAGGGAGAAATCACCCCCCAGTGGGGGTGGTCACGCCGCAATTCCTTCTCCTCCATTCTCCTCTCGGGATCTTGGGCACGCACGCACATGCACCCAGCTTGAGTTTTAAGCCACCGGGTCCAGGACGTGAACCACGGTCAACTACGTGGAAGTCCAGCGACATAGCCATTATGCTAACTGCTGAACTGCTGGTTCCCTTGTTTCTTAATTTGACCAGAGAGAGACAGAGAGTGGATGGGAAAGTGAGAAAGCAAGCAGCCAGGTCCGGGACTCGAACCACATTCAATTATGTGGGAGTCTAGCACTTTAACCACCATGTTACCTGCTAGCCCTAACATTTTTTTCCCAAAGAATTATTTATTTAATTTTATTTATTCATTCATTTATTTTTTACTTGACCAGAGAGAGAGAGAGAGACAGCGAGAAAGTGAGAAAGCAAGCTACCAATTCCAGGACTTAAACTTTGGTCAGCCATGAGGGAGTTTCCCGCACCTTACCACCATGCCTCCTGCTGGTCCCACCTAACTTATTTTTTAATTGTAAGAGGGCATATGTGCTCACTAGAGAGAGGCAGTGGTGGGGGAGGGGCCAGAGAAAGCACCCCCTTATAAGACATGGTCATGCTGCAGTCCCTTTCTTGTTCCCATCAAGATTTTGAGCATGCATGCTTAAGCCCCCAGTGTGTTTTTTCAAGCCTCTGGCCTGGAATTCAAATTTGTTGGCCCT